GTTGGAGCACTTGCCGCCAAGCCTGATGACCTGGGTTCTATCCTCAGGATCCACATGGTGGAAAGAAAGAACCGATGCCAGCAAGTTGTCTTCTGACCTCTGCACAAGAAAGTACTACCTAAGTGTCCACTGTGCAAGTTCTTTCACCTGCTTTTCCTAAAGCAGACCAAATGTTCCTCTCTAGTCTGTTTCTTTGTTCTACATGTATATTTTTATGCCAATACCCTATTGTTTTGATTACTGTAGCTTTGTAATATTGTTTGAAATCAAAGAAGCATGATAGCTCCAACTATTTTTTCTTTCTCTACATTACATTGGCTATTTGAATGCTTTATGGTTATGATTCTATATGTTTTAGATTTTTTTCTATTTCTGTAAGAAGGGCCGTGGGAATTTTGATGAAGATTATGTTTATTTTGAATATCACTTTGGATAGTATGGAAATTTTATGATGGAGGTTTTACATTTACTAATACCTTCTATTTCTTTCGGTAATATTTTATGGTTTTCATGTCCAGATCTTTAATTTCCTTGGTTAAAGTTATTTCCAAGAGTTTCAATGCTATCACAAATGTGTTTTTTTTTTTCATATAGTTCCTTTGTTGTCTTTCTTTAGTTTCATGTAATTTCTTTTTTTCTTTCTTTTTGTTTTGGCAGTGAACTTCAGGGCTTTATTGTGCAACAGGGAGGGTCACACTTGTGCCCGTCCACTCCCAAACTTTTAAATTGTTATTTCTGAGGTTCCTGGTAACCCCTTTATGATCTTCACATGGACTTTTAAAGACAATGTACTCAGAAAAACTCAAGCTTTCCTCCTTTAAACACAGGCAACATTATTTACATAATTCATTTTACACTGACGGTAAAAATTATACTAGAGTTTATCACTAAACTAACTTATTTTGTTCCCTTCTTAAATGCCTACTAAATATCTTCACTGTCCTGGTGACTTCTTGTTCTTAATTTCTTGGTGGATACAATATTTTTATCCTCCTTTGGGTTTTCTGCACCTTTCTTGGCACCCCAAGTTGCTCTGGGCTCAGGTTCACTGTCCAAAGTGGCTCCAGTCTTTCTAGACCTCAAACTCCTAACACCTGAATTTCCAGAGACTCTGTTCTCTTTCTGAGCCTTGGTCTGAGTCTCCCCACCTTTCTCATTTGTGTTCTTCTCTGCCATATGTGCCCGGGAGATCACACTCTAAGGAGAGCCCCGTGGGAATCTTAGCAGTCACGAGGGACCCTGCAGTGTCACAGAGCAACAACAGTGATTGTCTGCATCCCCAAGAGGAAGTCTGTAAGAGACAGAAGCATTTCGAGAACCAGAGGGCCGTGTTCTGTGACTCAAGTACAGAAAGCATCAGATGAGTGAGAGACGGAGGGCTGCTCCCAACGAGAGAGGCCCAGCACTGGAGCCCCCAAAGATGAAACATTTGACAGTGGTCACTAACAGAATTGAACACGTGGAAGAGCAGATGAGCTATCTTTTGAAAACCAAAGGAAAGGAACCCAAAGTAGAAGACATAGTCATTCTAGATCAGAGAATGCTCCTGAGCACCAGATACCAAAAGAAAACCTGTGAAGACCAGCAAAGACCCAAGGCTAAGAGCAAGAGAAATGAGAAGAGGACCAGGAACAACTCCCAGGAGTGGAGCTGCAGAACCCAGACAATGGCTACAAGAAACCTGCATCTGGAGCCAAAGTCAACAGGGAAAGAATGGGCTTGAGGTCTGGGGGACATAGTTTCATGTAATTTCTTATTAGTATATAGAAACACAACTGATCTTTCTATGCTGATTTTGTTTCTTGCAACTTCACTAAATTTATTCAGTAGTTCTGACTTTGTGTGTGTGTGTGTGTATTATCCCATTGATCTGTGTTTGTTGAATGAAGTTTACCATCCGGAGATAAGTCCCACTTGATTCTGATGTATATTTTTAAGGTGTATTTTTACTTTATGTGTATGGGTGTTTTACTAGCCTATACATTGCACATGCTTCAACTTTTGAGTTGATTTGACTGTTTGCAATGCCCACAGAGGCCAGAAGAGGGCGAGAGCTTCCCCTAGAACTGGAGATACAGAGGGTTATGAGCTGCCATGTGGGTGTTGGGAACTGAACTCAGGTCTTCTGTAAGAGTAACCAGTGTTCTTAACCACCGAGCCATCTCTCCAGACCTGTGGTATATAATTTTTTGATGTGTTCTCATATTTGTTGACATTTTAATTGGACTACATGATCCTTCCCATGTGCAGGCCTCTGTGCTATAGTCAGTAAGCTTAATACTCAGAAACCAATACTAAGCAAACCATAATTTTGTTTGCCAATCACCAATTTCCCACAAAATGCTCAGAACCCTGAGCACACTAAGTGACTTTTCCAACACCAGCTCTGCTTACCTTGCAGGACTCTTTTTTTTTTTGAGGATCTGATAGGAGCAGGGTGGGAAGCCCTTTGGACATGTATTGTTGCTGGTCCAAAGCACCAACTGGAGATTTTGAGTTGATTTGACTGCTTCAACTGTTCTGGCCTTCTATAAACACAGCCTAAATTCCCACATAGAACTTATGGGTTCAGTAGTCAGACATGGTTTCAGGGCTCCTCAACCATCTTGAGTAGAGGACAATTGTGGAACAGGCCAAACTCCATGTGTTGATAAACTAACAAAGGTCCAAATGAGTTTTGCTCCCATGCTTATGAATGGACCACTGAACATGGTCCCAGGCAGCAAGGTGGCTCCCACACAGATAGACCTGTACCCTCAGGAAAAAAGCTTTGAATCTTCTTAATGTCTTGGCTACCTGGAACGGATACTATTGGCACTTCCGTTTATTGAGCGCTTATTACGTGCTCTATGCATTTTATCTATTATCTCATTTATCATCTCCACAACAACCCTGTTACTATTCCATCAGATGAAGAAATTGAGGTTCAGAGAGATTAAGTGACACAGAGCTGAATGATTCTAAAGTTCAATCTTTGCAATAAAGTTGTCTGCCTTATAAGCTGGGGGTGACAACTGGAAGCAATGACTTTGGAATAAGGTATTGTTTGGCTAAAAATGTCAATCTATAGCTACCACTGAACGCACATGAGTAGAGTTCTAATCCTACATGATCATGGATTCTCCTACACCATGGAAGTGTGGCTATGAGTGGGAGTACAACAGGGAGAGGATCAGACCTTCTCCCATAGGTACTCATCCTTCGGACCATGCAACTGACACGAACAAAGCTACCTTCTGAGAAATGGTAGCTGAGGTGACATACTGTAAGATTCATAAACATGAACACACTTCTATGCCTCTTAAGCCAATGTTTCTTAAGCTCTTTGACTGTGGACCCCTTTGAGAATTTGAGACAAGTTGTGCACCCTGCCATAGGAGGAAAATCTAAATGCAAACTCAGAATTTTGCACATAGTTGCAGAGAAATTTATTGAGCTTCTTGTATGCTATCCAAGAGTAACAGACCCCAGGTAAAAAACTCCTGCTTTAAGCAAAACTAATTCTATGCCTTAAAATGCAATAAATTAGAGAACAATGATTCCTTTAAATAACAAGCCAACCTAGGGCATAAAACCCAGGATTTTCTTTATGAAACTTTTGTTTTCAATGTGAAATTGTCTGCATGAAATACACATACAGTCAGCATCTCCTGTTCCCCTAGTTCCCTGTGAAGGCACAGATGTCCACTATCAGGACTGGTCAGAAGACAAAAACAGAAACTATATATATAAGGTGGTAGTTTCTTTTATTACTGGAGGTTGGGCAGTCACTTACAAGACAGGGATGATTTCACTGGATGATACTGGGCTACAGGATTTTAGCAATCCCACCAGAATCAAGGGTCATTGTGGTCAGGTTTAGGTTCAGACCACAAGTCTGTTCCTACTAAGCAAGTGATGGCTTCAGCAGAGGCCAGGGGCCTGACAGGGGCAGACTCAGTATATATTGGCTCACTTACCTGAGTCTGCAGTCAGCCTTCTTACACTGGCCCATGTTATTCCAAATAGCAACTGTTAGTTCCTTGCCAACTAGAGGCCCTATTGTTCTTTTACAAAAATATTAGATAATCCCAACCCAAGTCATTCCAAGACCATTTCCTCCCGGCCTCTTGGGTTGCAAGCAGACAAGGTCTTACTGTAATCTTTAATAGCATTGTTAGTTACAGCCTGATATTTCTTCACCTAAATCTACTTCCAAAATTTAAGCTTTCACACAAACAGCCACAAAACATAGATCTGATGCAAATATTCCGTAGCACTTTCTTCTTTAAAAACTTTTATTTGAAAGAAAGACTGTGTGGCATGTTTGAAGGTGTGCTGGACCCAAAGTCCTTAGTCCATCATGGATTACCTCCTGGCCTTTCTGACCCTCAATTTCCTCTATCACATAGCTGGTGAAAGGCATACAAGCTTACACCTATAATCCCAGAACTTGAGAAACTGAGGCAGGAGGGTGGATTACATAGTGAGTGTTAGGCCAGCCTGAGGAATAGTGGGAGCCACTGTCTCAAACCCCCTCCAAAAATGGATACTCTGCTTATCTCTCAGGCAGGTGCCTCGCAAGACTCATATGAGATAACGAGTCCATAGATAATGTATGAACCAGAAAGCTGCTTTCAAACACACGAGAACTTACAATCATTATTTCACTTAAGCTCACACAGTTCCATGAGCCACACAAATCCTCACTGACTTGCTCCCTCTTACTCTCTTGCTCCCTCTCCCTCTCCCCTATTCAGAAAAAAAAAATGCATCGAGGCCATATTATGACTAGACACTGTATGCAGCTTTGTAAATTTTCTTATTAACCGAGTTGGAAGCAGACTCAGCAAAGCAAAAGAACACTTCGAAGCTTACTCCCTGGCATGGCAAGGAACTGGAATAGTCCCATCTCCCCACCCCCTCTCTTCTCTTTCTCCTCCCCCAGGCTAGTTTTCCCTGACTCCACTCTGCTTCTCCCTGAACACCCCCCCCCATTGGAATAAGAAATTGTTACTCACTTAGGAAAAAGAAATCCTTGACTCTGAGAATTCTGAGGCCAATAATCCTTTTCTCTCCTTGGCGAACACGAGGGAAGGGATCGGGAGAAGATGAGGCCGGTCCCTTAGACTTAAATCCTCAATGCCTGAACTGTTCCAGTTATATATGGCTTTCAGAACATGGCTGATTATGTTCACCCTCTCTTTTTTCCCGCCCCCTTTTCTAATTCACAAGCTGCAAAGCAAACCTGCGGCTCCCAAATGCACCAGGTGTCTCCAACTTTGTAATTGAGCAAGGCAGACTCTTTCTCAGCCAAGAGTCTTGAAATATTTATCCAAATTTTGGGTTCACTGGATTAATGCCTTAAGCTGGTAAGCAATCCCACTGAAGGTCAATGTTCGTTTCCTAAAGTTGTCCAATGTCTGTGTGGTATTCAGACCTGAACATGATAACTTTACTCCAGATTGCAAATTCCCCAGAATGCACGCTGGAGATAGAAGCCAGCCCACATTGTTTGTAGTTGGTCAGCATAATGATTCAAGGTGGGCTCAGAACTGAAACTGCCTTGAGATAAAGCAGATCAGCCCCAATTCACCCCTGAGAGAAGGCCTCTGAGCAGGAGAATGTGCAAGGCCCTTCCAGTCAGGGGAGACTTCCGCTCCCCTCTGCTTTGGGCTCTACCAGTTGGCAGATGCAGCTCTGTGCAAATGCTGGCCAGACCAAAATGGTGCCGAGACAGCCACGATATTGTTTAGAAAAAAAGAAAGGAAACATCTGCAGAGGCTACCTTGGTACTAAGCAGGGACAGCCTGCTGCTTTTCCTCATGGGCCTATGGTGGGCTAGCCCCTGACTGAACGGAAAGGTTCCCTGAAACAAATGCATCTGAAAGATATTTTCCATCCCCCACAGGAAATTCTTGTGTTTAGTCATCCTTACTACATGGGCTGAGTCAGCAAGCTCTGCTTTAACCACAGCTGCTTTCAAATGGTAAGTTAAGAAGACCAGTTAGTTGAGTGAAGAACACTTTGGCTGCAACACTTTGACAGCCGGAGCTCCCAAATCGGATGGATAAACTAGAGGAATTGCAATTGGGCGTTGCTCAATACCTTTTCAGTTCTTCTGGGTGGGCCTCAATTACTTTTTAGTATGTTGGTACTACAGAGCATTCCAGAATGAGTAGAGACAGCAGTTTGTCTACCTTTAAGAGACCACTATGGTGGAGTGGTGTGATCTTTGGCCTAGGGTTTAAATCCTGTTCTGTCAATAATTTGCTACATGACTATAGGGCAATTGTCCTCTTTGCCTGAGGTCTCTGCAGTCTCATCCTTAAATTAGAGGCTGGGATAAGAGTGCTTCTAAAGGCTCTTCCTGCTCTGATGGCCTATGAAACACTTTAGGACAGATGGCCAGCTACTCTTTCCCCAGTTTACCTGGGAAAAACACTACAGAACCTGTCTGGGGACTCTTCCTCCAGCGTTTTCCCACCCATGGTGAAATGTCTTCCCTGCTCTGACCACGATCTGTTTTCTCTTGTTTGGCCTTCCCTCCCTAGACAAGGAGAACCCCCCCCCCCAGGGAGAACATTCTTTTCTAAAAAAAAAAAAAACCCAAAAACTCCTTTTGTTACTCCAAGAGCTGAATTCAAGCCTGCATTCTGTTCTGTCCACTGCAAATGTGGAAGACAACCGCTTACGGCTGAGGTTTAAATGAGCATTTCTTCCATTCTTTTGGTCATTGGTACTGACTCATGAACCTAGGAAGACTAAGACTGCCCGAGGCCCAGTGTTACCTCACAAGAGGGAGAGAAGCACTTATTTCAGAAGCAGACAGATGTTCTAGACAACAGAGTCTTAGACACAGGAAAGAGGATGGGCTTGTGTTATGTAACCCTTTCAATCCCTGAATCCACATCTGGACACAGGAGACCAAGCATCAAAATAGTTGATAGTGGGCAGACTTGGTCTACACATGTCACATGCTCATCGGATGGTATCTAATCCCACCATTTTAACTTGCAGTGTTATGATCATTTCCTATTTTACAGATTAGGAAACTGAGGCACATAAGAGTAATGAACTTGCTCAAGGTGAAACAGGTTATAAGCAGAGGAGCTGGTGTCATGCTCCAGAAGAGCTGACTCAGGGATATCTGCTGTCACCCATGATGACTCTGATGAGGCTGGCTCACATCCCATAAGGTCTGATTGCCACATTTATCTCATGTGTTTTTATCTCTTTTTAAAAGCATTTTGTGATTTTATTTATTTATTTTGTCTTTTTGAGACAGGGTCTCCCTGTAGTCCCAGCTGACCTAAGCTCACTATGTAGCACAGGCTGGCCTTGAACTTACAGCGATCCACCTGCCTCTGCCTCCTGAGTGATGGGACTAAAGGTGTGCACCACCACATCTGGCCAATTTATTTTTATAAATTTTTAATTCTATGTGTATGAGGGTTTTGTTTGCATGGATGCAAGTGTACCATGTGCATGCAATACCTGAAGAGGCCAGAAGAGAGCATTGGATCCCCTGGCACTGGAGTTACAGACAGTTGCGAGCTACCATGTGGATGCTGGGAACTGAACCCTGATCCTCTGGAAGAGCAGTCATCTCTCCAACCCCTTGTGTCTGCATCACTTCTTGGGGCTTGGTGCCTGTCTGGATCACTGTGGCCCCTTCTACAGAGAAAAAGCTCCCCCATGATGAGTTGCAAAGTGTTCAGTTTATGATACTGGAAATGTGTCATGTCCTCTTAAAAGAGAAATATAGAGAAAAGATATTGTAATGGCTTTCCCCAAGCTAAAGAAAGTATTGAAATATAGCTACATTCCTCTCTGTTGGTAAGACTATTAGATTTCTCAAATGTCAGAGTTCGGGGAGAACTAGTAATTTGTATAGTTCCAGTGCCTCATTATGGATGAGGCAACTGAGGTTGAGAAAGTAGTGTTGTTATCAGATATTCAGGTCAACAATCTGCCTCCTTAGTTTCCTTGTATTCCAAAAGATGAAAAAAAACAGAAATTTTCCAGATGTGGTGGTGTATGCCTTTAATCCTAGCACTCAGGAGGCAGATGCAGGAGGATCTCTGTGAGTTCCAGTCCAGCCAGGGCTACATAGTGAGACCCTGACTCAAAAAAAAAAACAACAAATAGAGGGAAAGAGGAGAGAGAGAGAGAGAGACAGAGAGAGAGAGAGAAAATTTACAGCTTAATCAAACCAAGGAGAGAAAGAACTAATTTCTACCATGCTACCATGCCCATGATAGTCTTACAATACCTTACAATTCTTAGTCAACTATGACTCCAAGTCCAGAAGCTAGTAATTTTAGCTGTGAGACCGTTCAATTGGTCCTTTCCTGGAGGAAGGGTCCCTTGGCCATAAGTTGTTCCCGTTGTCTCTATTCTCAACGTGAGACCACTGCTATAGTATCAGAGACCTGTGGACTGAGAGGGAGCTTTAAAGATGGGGCAAGAGAGTGAAATGACAGAGCTAGCCTATTTTGTAATTCTCCTCTGAGTCAACCCTATGAGGGAGTCTGGGGGAGAGTCACCTGCACTAGAGCCACTCTTCCCAGTGGGCTGTTCCAAAGGTCTTGCGTAACAGGGATGCAGAAGTATGGGGCTTCAAATGTAACTGCCACCTTTGAATGGTTCAAGGTCCATGGCTAAATAATAATGTTCTTATAACCTTTCTTAACACCAGGTCTGCTTCCCTAATGGATTGCACACTATTAGTTACAAGTATCTAGGGAAAGCCAGCCACCTCTTTGGAAAGAGAAGCTGCTCAAAAACTAACTGGCCTTGTGACTGTGATCTAAAGATGACTCCTGAAGCCTGCTTTAATGAAAGCTGAATGGAGCCATCTTAGTTTTCAATATGAAAAGTGCAGGCTTGTAAAGTATTACTTTAAAATAAACTTTATGGTGACATAAATTTTCACTGAAGTCACTATGAAAAAAAACTGAAAGAAAAACCTGGGTTTTTTTTTTTTAATGTGGTTGAAGCCTCCCAGAAATTGGCCTGAAGGTACTGTATCTTAATTACTGTTTTCAAAGAAATACTAGGAGATCATCCGCATTCCCCAGTGTCAATCCACAATGTATTTTCCAGACTCTTCCTTCTAAACTCAGCACAAGTGCCAGAGTTCAAAACTAAAAGGTACCAAACTGGAGCTCTTGCCTGATTTGCTTGCTAACTGAGGCGATACACATAGAAATCCTTATTGTCATGTCTTCTAGGTGCAACCATAAGAAAACACCCATATTGTGTTTTGGGGATCAGCCTATTATTGCCTATGAAGTTTTCCATGTGGAAAGCAAGTGGGCCACACACCATTTTAGAAAGAACCAAATGAACTTCCCCTTTGTTTTATAGGATGGCTGAGGGCCGATTACCTTTTATAATCTGCCAGCCTTTTAATTCATCCCAGGTTGCAGCTGGGCTCCAAGCTGGAGGCGGCTTGGTTTAGTAGGCAAGACAGAGGTGGGAGAAAGATAGGGGTATGTGAGTACGAGTGTGTGGTACACAGAATCACCGTACGTGTGTGTGGTACATAGAACCAGTTTTGAAGAATTTTATAGGTAGTCAGTACTTTCAAGCTACAAAAAAAATCTGCTTTTGTAGTGTTAGAGGATGACATTTCATTGCAAAAATAAATGATTTGGTCATTACCATTTCATGGTTGCTGGCAACCACCGTTCTCTGCTTTCTAACAATTTCCATTTTAGGCACTGACAAGCCCTTCAAAGGGATTCAGCCAAATATCCACCCAAAGTTGCGTATTTGGCAGTTTCATAGGCAAAATCTGGGGCCTCTGGGCAAAAAAAAAAAAAAAAAAAAAAAGTCAGAAAGGCTCCCTCCTTTGTTAATTGCAAAACAAACATCACCATAAACAGCCACCGGGGGCTCCACGGGCAGCCATGCGGAAGGAAAGGAAGGAGCGGAAGTTGTTGGCAGGGGCTGCTTCCTTGGCTCCAGTTCTTGCTCTCATTCTCTATCACTGCCTGCACTTTTCTTGAAGACTGGTGCTGCCTCAGTCATTAGCCCTAACCAATGCAGGCCTAGCTTCTCAGCAAGGAAGCCCCTCCGCAGATAACAGCGCCGCGCCGTGAGTGGGCGTGGGAACCAAAAGGAGTGTCTGAGACTTTTGGAATACTTTGGAAGCTCACGGGATCTAACTGGCTGAACCTACGAATAGGCAGTCAGCATGGACCCTCACTGGGAAACATC